GGTAAGGGCTGATTGCACTCGAGTACAGTTGATGCTAACACAAGTAGATTTTAAAAACTAATTCTCAAGGTTTCTAAACTCAGCATTCTGAACTGCTGACTGATCAGCACCGTTAATATTTCAGTAACGCCATGTAAAAGGAAAACAACATTTTTGCTTATGCTGATTTTCTCAAATGGGACTGAAATGGTTCAGATGCTTGAAGGACTACTTCTCACTCAGTGGGCCTGTTTCAAATGGGCAATTTGTGGTAGCTTTTTCGCCATATGCCCTCACCATCAGTCTTTAAAATCCCATGTGTGGGTATCAAAAGTCAGAAAGAAGCGTTTTATTGTCTCCAAACATCAACTAATCCTAGGGAAATAGCAAAAATTTGCTACAGTCAGCTTAACTTTAATAGTTGCCTTAAGAGTTCAAATATATGTTTAGGAACTACACAAAATATCACTCTTTGGCATGCCTTTATAGCTAAATAGGGAATTACCCGTAATAGTTCAAGAAATTATTGGGCAAACTTTTCTTTAGGAGAATGGAAGTGAGTAATTTGGAAAACCCATTTACTCTTTGTATGAATTCAAGTAAAATAACACTAGTTGCTTATGGCTACTGATCCTAAACTTTGTATGCAGTGTTTTGATTCCAAAGCACTCCAAATGCTTCATATTCCCCTCCACAGTCGGAGCCCCTTTATATGTGTATTTCTCTTAAGTATGCAGAAAGCATTTTACACCCACAGAAAAAGAGCATGTTAAAGGATTTTATAAGAACCATCCATTTATATAAGAGGAGGTAATAGTATATAGAGCAGAAACCTATTTTCACTAAATTACGACAGTTCTGAATAAATGGAGGAAAAGAGGTTAGTTAGATGCAGTACTCAAACTGGGTTAGAACGCTCAGAACTGTCTGAAAACTTCTACATGCATACAATCTTAGCTGGCTATACCTGCCAGCAAGAAAAAGCTTTCTCTAAAACAGTGCTTCTCACCTGAGACCATTCTGGCCCCACCCGACCCTCCTCTGGGGACATTTGGCAATAGCTGGAGACACTTTTTGTTGTCCTGGAGTGTGGGGGGGGGGGTGATAGGAGTGGTATCTAAGTGGGTAGGGGCCAGGAAAGCTAATACCTTACACTGCACAGAGCAGCACCCCATGACGCAGAATTACGCAGTCCAAAATGTCAACAGTTCCAAGGTTGAGAAATCCTGATCTAAAAAGAACATGCGTTTTTCTATTGAAGTATACATTCTGAAGGAAAGCATGGATTTTTACTTCTAGAATAAGGAACCAAGAGTTTATTTCCAGACCTTTTAGAAGGCCTTAGTTCATGGATGGTTAAGGATTTCAAGCAAGATAAACATTTGTGTCTTTTAAAAATGCCAGTATTACAGTAAGCTACTACCACACATATTTAATTAAGTTGCCCTTACCTAAGTAAGCAGTGGGTTTGTATTAAAAGTGAAATGTATGTGAAACAAGTGAAACAGCTCTGCAGAGGAATAGATTACAGGCTATTAAAAAAATGAGGATATCACAGTATCATACATTACCAGTTCGAGTACAATTCTTTAGACTCCTGTGTGAAAAGAGCATTCTAGAATAAAATCACTCAATGTGCAGACCATTAGTTATTGATAATGGCTGCATACACCAATTCCAATACTCCCTAATCCAGAAAGAATTTCAGTTCACAAAATAAAACCTTTTCTTTCTAAAACCTAAAAGAAACAATTTGCCAGAATCACCACTGATAATCATTTAGGATCAGAATAAAAAGGTGTGAAGATGTCAGGGTATTACAAGTCTCTCTACAAAAGCTTCTGAAACCAGGCACACATGGATGGGATCTAACAAGTAAAATTATCCGCAATACTCCCCTTAGCCTTCATTGAAGTTTTGTTTTTTTGTTGTTTTATCTCCACCAGGGGATGTTTTGTTGATTTCTAGAGAGAGAGGACAGGAGAGAAACATCTATCAGTTGCTTCCCATATGCACACTGACTGGAGAACAAACCTGCTCCCTACGTATGTGCCCTGACCAGGAATCAAACCCACGACCTTTTGGTGTATGGGACGATGCTCCAACCAACTGAACCAACTGGCCGGGGCAGACTGGTTTTTATGATGGCATAAGAAACAAATCCCAGTTTGAATTTAAAGCTAACTTTTGAAGTTACAAAGAGCAAAATTATGCTGACAGATCTTGCCCTACATTACATTACAGTACAAGTGTTCACAAATCTTATTTTTCTAGTATTGATAGGAAAATAAAGCTACTGTATTGCAAAGGGAAAATATGTAATTTCAGTATACATATTCCTTAGTGGTCTTAACTGGTGATTATGGCAGCTTGCCACCAAATACTTCTGCAACTAAAGGTAGCAAAGGAGTTTTATTCAACTGGAAAAGTCAGTTAAATCCATAATATCCTTTTTCCAAACAGTAAAATGAATGCTATTATTGTCCATTTTCCATTCCACACAAGAGTAAGATTTCAAAAACGTAAGAATCTGGGGTAGAAGTTGTTTAAAAGCTAGAATTCAATTTGAGATCGAGCTAGAATCCAAAATTTGGTGAATTTTAAAGCTCTTTAATATCAAAACAGTTATTAAGCATATTATATCTAGAAATTGGCAGTTAACTTTAATGATTTAAATTTTGCGTAAAATTAAAGTGGGCAGAAATGTTCAACTGCTTAATGTTCAAATGGGTAACTGAGATATTACTGTATACTTTGTCGTGTGGTTAATTACAGCCAATAAGGCCTCTTAATCAGTTAACTGAATTTTTTAATTGGTTACATAAAAATTATGTAAATAGTCAACATTTGACTTAGTCATCGTACTCCAACCTCTTAAGAATTCTAATACCCAATGGTTAAAAAGCTTTAGATATCATTAATGAATATATGACCATTATTTTAAAACTTACTCAGTGCTATTGATTTTATAAATATTTAGCTTAGGTCTTGTCATACCAAATTTCCTTTCTGCCTAAGTTTCATAAAATAACCTAACTTCAAAACACAACCCCATAGTGAACTTTCTTTAAAAAGAAATCAGGTAGATCTAAACAATTTAAACACCAAGAAAAGCAGCCAACAGCTGTTTTCTTAACTTTTAGATCTCCTGAAGAAACTATGTATGTAGAGATGCTACGCAGAACTTGTTAATAAATCTTACAAGACCAGGAAGCAGTGTGAGAGGTGGACCATGACTGAGCCTCACACCCTACACCCGCAGTACCAGTATTAGGGCATCAGCGATGGAAGTATGCAGTTAACCATTATGACTTGGCATTCAAAATCTGAGTGTTATTCTGTTACTAATTTTATACATGGTAGTAAACCATATCTACTACTAGAAAGAACAGAATCTATTTTTGTATTAAAAGAGAGAATTTCAGCTATATTAAAAAAATTAGCCATCTTGCAAACTTTAAAAAAAATTATATCCTGGAAGGTTAAAAAAAATCCAATACATGAAAAGTATTTGCATTTAACTTTAGATAATTAAGATATTCACACAACATATGCATGTCAGTCTCCTATTTGGTCCTAGAGCCTGCAGTATTGTAATTTATTACGAAACCATGTAACCGAGTATTTAAATATATCCACAACATCTATACCACGGTAATGTATAGTACATAATATACTAACATCTCAAAATAAATTTCTATTACAATTTTATGCAAATTATGGTATAAGACTACCACCTGCCACATTCTGAAATGGCACCAACTTCATATAATGTTCCAAGTCAATGTACTACTCAAAATCCTTACAGTAATGATGTCTTATGCATTATCATCTGAATATTTAAATTTAAGCTGTTAATCTAATAACCACAGTATATTACCAATTCAAATCACTGCATATTTGGACGTTAAAGCAGGTAATACAGCAGAAAAGTATTTCTAATTCACAGTTTCAAAAATAAAGGGTGCAGTTTTCAAATATGATTGCTTAAAATTGGTCACTAAATTTAACTGCCTCCTTCAATACATGTAAACTATGTTTGCACAGCATCAGGAGATGTCTTTATTTCAGAAGTTAGTTCTTACTGTTACAGAAGCACCACAAATTTGAAGGAAGAGGCTACAGTGTGAAATGAGTTCACTGAAGGGCATGTCAACTAAAACTAAATATGATACGGTACTGCAAAGCCTTGTTTCCCCCAGCAGAGACCCCCCCTTAATCAGGAAAAGTAGTCAATGTTTACCAAGTACAATATGTAAATTAGCTCTACAAGAGAAGGGGGAAAATCTGACTAAAAGAAAAGACTATTTATAAGCTAACAAACCCGTGATAGCCGGCTTCAGAATTTTCCTAAAACTAAATTTGAAAAGCATACAGTTTTTGTATCCTTCAATAAGGGATGTAGAGATCCAAACGGAATGAATAAAAAACTGGCCTTCAGAATATAATTTCTCAGTGGCAACACACACACACAAATGGGTAACTGAAAAAAAACTGTGTACTTAAATATTCAAATTTTAAATGTGTAAGAAAATTTATAATAGAAAAAAAGTGGTAAATTGTTATTGTGACTTGATTTGCTGAAAACATCTGCAAATTCACACTGGCATTAAGAAAACCAAATTTCAAAAATTTACTCCTCACCCTCTCTCCAAATATGTGTTTTCTGTGCAAAAATAAAATATCTGCAAATTGCACTAATACAATACTTATTTTAACTTTTGTATAATGAATAATCTGCACATGCTGCTTTACAGACAATACATTATTTGTAAACTTGCTCATGCAAAATTAGTGTGCGCAACAGGGATATGGTGATCCCTGCACTTTAAAAAAATGATATCTTATTATCTTTTTTAAATTGCTAAACCCTCTGAAATGGAACAAATCTTACACAGATCTTATGTGCCAGCTAAAAATAAATTTATGTTGCTGAAACAAAGTTATACAAGAGAAAGAAACATGGTTTTGTCTTGCAGAATTGTTGATTTTTAAATGAGAAGTTTTATAAAAGAAAGAAATTCATGGTCACAAAATTTTAACATTTTAATCCTAAACATTACAGGGCAAATGATCCTGGACCCTATCTCCATATTCCATAAATCCTAACTTTTAGTTTCCATTTTAAATGTTGTCCTAACCACTAAAACATTAGTGGTTTTACAACCTCTGGATTATGGAAATACATATTTCTGAAACAAATGTTACAAAAACAAAAGTGGAAGAAAGCCAAACTGTCTTCATGAAGGAAAACAAAAGTGGAACATTTTGAAGCTTTTAAACACTTCCTTTTCCACGTCATATGAGTAATAACCTGTTGATTCAGTGCATCATGGTCAATGTCTGGTCCCCGTGTTGAACAAACATCTAACTAGTGTCCATTGACTCCAAGTTAGTGGATGATGAATCTTTTTGGATACTTTCAAAGATGGCTGCCAGCTCAGGGTTAGAACTGATCTGTGACTGGAATTCACTCATCAGTGGACTCTTCTCTGCTTCTGGAATGGTTAGTAGTGCTGCTACTGCTCTCATGGCAGATCGCTTTAGTTCATCTTGCTTTTCAAACTCCTGCTTTACTGAGTTTGCCTTTACCTGTAACATTGAGTAAATTTGTATTATAGGCCATAAAAGACAAGCTCTTATACGAACAAAACTTAAGCACCTAGAAATTTCTGGTAAATAAAGTTGCTCTTTCATAGGTCCCAAAGTCACACTATATTCAAAGCACAGTTGTTTTTGAACTTTTTAGCAGCAGTTTGTCTCCCTTCCCTTTAAGGGAGTATCTTATTCAAAGCCCAATAGGAAAACAGAAGCCAGAGCCATGGTGGTTGAAAGAATGAGAACCTCAGCTTTACCTGCTCAGCAAGTCCTACTTCAGCTTCCACCAAGAAACTGCTCCTCTGTGCATTCATTATTCTTCAAACACACCACATACTGACATCTCTGTGCCTTAATTCATAGAATTATTTTTATATGAAAAGTCCTGTTTCACCTTCTAAATTTAGAAGTATATCTGACTTTTTAACATCCATTTGAAATGTCATCACTTTCATATAAAGTCTTCTATTATTACCACATCCCACCTCCTCCTCTCCAAAATTACATTTTCTTTTTTGTGGACCCATCTCCCTTGATCCTATATCGGTACTTCAAAATTTATATCATTGTTATTTACATACATAAAAACTTTAAAGAACAGCATTAAACTGTTAATTTTTCAAAACCCCACATTCAATAGGTTAACTTTTAAAACCTACTGGTACATATGGTTGAATTAGGAAAATTACAGTATAAAATCAACTAGGAACCCTGAATATACCAAGTCTGGCCTAACTTGATGCCCATCAATGATTACCTTAGTTGTACATGTGGCACGTAATGGCTCAACAAGCCGGTCCAACCTCTGCAGTACTGCACTTGGACAAAGCGTGGAGAGTCTCACCAACATTAAAAATGTTAACATCTATTACAAATTAAAAAAGATAACTTAGGCATTGCTTTATTTTCTAAGGGCAATTCCAAATTCTAACAAATGACTAGCATGCACCACAAAGTTTCATTTTCATGTAATCTACTTCAAAGAGTTGTCACAAATGTTATCTGAAGCATTTTAGTTACAAGTACTACAGAGACCTCACCTATAATGTGGTCCTAATGTGTAGTACACAACTAGAAAACTGGTTCTCAATCTCGACCACACATTAGAACTGAGGGCATACCCTGTTCCCAAAGACTTTTACGTAACCTGTTAGGAGAGGGCCGTAGATTTAGAATTTTTGAAAAAGCTCATGTACATCCTGCAAGGTAGCTTACGTGGTTGGACATCTTTTCTGCAAAGGGAAAAGCCACTGGTTCAATTCCCATTCACATGCCTAGGAACATGCCTAGGAATACCCATTCCCTGGGAACAAGCCTAGGTTGTGCGTTCAGTTCCTAGTCGGGGTGCATACGAGAGGCAACTGATGTTTCTCTCCCACTCTCTCTCCCTCCCCGGCCCTATCTATAACTTTAAAAAAGAAAAAAATAAAAAGCTCATGCACACCAAAATGGAAAACCATTAAATAAGAAAATAACTGAACCAGGAGAAAAGCTTCCTTAAGTTTCTTAGCAAATTTTCCTTTAAAAAGAAAAAGCGGGTTATTCAGATTATCTATATAAAACCTAGTAACCCATGATCTTTTTCCTCTTGGACTATAAACTGTACAATTAAACAGGAAGACGCTATCACTCCCCTGGGGGCTCTTTTTAATATTTTGTGGGAGGGGCCAAGTTACCACCACTCATGGAAACAGGCAAGTTGGAGTTCTGAGTCTGGCTGAATAACTAACTGCTCAACTACCACTTTTGCCTGTTTGATCAAAGGCCATTGATGGGGGAAAAAAAAGAGAAATGTACTTACTATTTTTCAATTCACCCTTTAATAGTTCACATTTAAGATGGACATGGCAAATCAGAAAACAAAGAGCAGTTATGAGCAATGTTCCTGCTCTAAAGCTAGAGAGTGGTATGGTTTCTTTTTACCTGCTTCTACATAGATTGCTTTAGGTATCTGAAAAGTTATTCCATGTCACCCTTTTAACAAAACACTTGATATTAAACCCAGTAGACTAAAAACAAAAATCCCTCATTTAGGTAAATAATATGGTCATCATGTAGAATGATCCCAAAGACAGCCAAAGAGAATTAGCCAAGGTAGTGATAGGAAACTAAGAAAATCCTCCATGGGTAGCAACTGCAATATGCTTTTAAGAAAAGCCAGAGAGATCACAGATTACACTTTGAATGGCAAAACCAGCCTGCACTCTTCTTAAAAGTGTCTAGGAGGGAAAGTATCTAGGGATTACACGCTAAGCAAGGTGGCACGGAATTTCTTAGAATTTTCCATTCACTTAGACTTGACTACCTCCTCCAAGGAAATGGTTTCTGGATTTTTCCTGTGTATGCTAACTGATGTTACAATTGTACCACTATTACTTTTGCATATTATAGTTCATGACTAGCAAACCAATTTTTTATCAATAAACAAAAGTAAATTACAAAGGTAAAAGTCACCATAGCTACTACATTTTCTAAAACATTCTATAAACAAGCACAAACATCTTACCTTAATATCATAATGGTCCTTCAAACCATCTTCAACATGATTTAGGAATTCAAAGATATCTAGTCTATCAAGACAACTGTCTAGAAGTGTGTACATACACTCGAAAGCTGCCTTTCGAATATCCAAGCCATCATCAACTGTATGCTTAAATGGCCCCATCTCTACCTGTTGAAACACAAAAGAATGTGTGCATATACTTAAAAGTAAAAGATGATCCTAGAAAAAGTGTAATCTAAGTAGCTTACCTCTCTTATAAGCTCCTTTCTAACTTTTGTTTCATTGTAAAGATGTGGAAGAACAGTATCTAGAAGATCCCTTATTAAGGATGGCTTATTATGTGCTGCTGAATTGAATGTGACCAAGGCTACTCTTCTAACATTCAAATCTGGGTCTTCCAATGTTTTCAGGAAGTCACCTAAAAAGTTGTAGGAGGAGCAACATACAATTATGGTAAGCTTAAAATAAAACACACATCATATTCTTTCTAAACTGATAATTTATGGTTGTTGGTATTATTCCCATGTCTTCAATGTGGGTCAGAGAAGAACATGATAAAAACGCTAAGTGAAGTATATAGTTTCTTTCAGCAGCAAGTAAACTATCAGGTCTCAATGTGAGTGTATTTAATTGATAACTAACTCTCAAGCACCTATAATGCAGAAGGTACATAGTATGAGTCCAAAAAGTACTCTAAATACTTTTACAGATATTTTATAAGATGGTGGGTTGCAAAGAGAAGTAAGGGAGCTAGCAGGCACAGGACCTAATAATTTGAATGACTGTCCTACACCAAAGATAAACAAGGTGAGGACAGATCCACTGCTTGGTAAAGATGGAATACTGTGAACAAGTACACAATTTACCAGATGACAAAGAGAAATGTGCCTCTAAAAGCCCTATTATTTAAATTTAATGAATTAGTGAGAGGGTAAGAATGCTAAAGGAGGAAAATGAAAACTGACATAAAACAAAAAGCTAAAGCACTTGAAAACAGATACAAGTCTGGTTTTCTAACAAATGTGGAGATTATTAAGCAAAGATCTCTGGAGTAATATAGATGATGATACAAACAGCTTCATTTGTCAATTGTGACTTTTGGCAAGTCACCTTAGGCAAATGTCTGTTTCCCAGTTTATAAACCTTTTAAGGCTACGGAGCAGAATCAATACTATGTACATATTGTTGAATACCGTGTCTGGTATGCATCTGGTATTCACATGGAGCTACCATTATGTAATCTCAACCCTACCATTGGCAATCTTTTAGAATACACAGGGCAAAAGAGAGAGGTGCCAGAAGACTTAAATGTACCACAGCAGAAATTTGAAAAAAGGGGGGGAAGTCAGACACCACAGGCTGATAAACTCAATGCTGACCATTCAAGGAAAATTGTGATTACACAAAAAGATTAGGAGACAGCTTGAGTTCAAAAAGATTTTAAATGTACCAGATTAAATCTCTTCACCCCGGTTTTTTAGTTACAAAGATGGTAAATTAGAATACTAATTAGAATAAAGATGCTTTCAGTAAACCATCTAAAATACTGCTATTATTAGGGACAAATGGTGACATGGACTAAAATCAGTGGTGCCCAAGTCCTTGGTCTAGGAATTCCAGTTTTTAAAAAGCTACCGAAGTGGTTGTAAGATGTTCTTATAATCACAAATAATACTGAACTAAACCATATTCTGAGGGCTTTTAGCTACTACTCCCAACTCTAGGAAAATTGATGGTGAAAACAACACAGAGAAGTTATGACGCCATGGAGAAACAATCCTAAACACTGATTCTTGTCCTCACAGAAAACAGAGAGAGCCCTGCCATCTCTGGGGTATCTCCTCTTAGTTTCTCTGGTAATCATCTTTTTTACTCCAGGCTGTTCCCACCTTACATGTGGAAGTCTCAACAGATCCTCTCAGGAACTGAAGGGTTACAAATAGTAACAGAAAATTGGGGTCCTAACGGCACAAGTTAAGATTCATTAATGGAAGGATAGATAAGGTGCTTCTCAGATAAGATCAAATTCAAGGAGTTCATCATCACCAAGCCCTTATTATATGAAATGTTAAAGGGACTTATCTAAGAAAAAGAGGTTAAAGAAACATGAACAGTGAAAGGGCAACAAACTCACAGTTATTAACAACCACACCTAAAACAAAAGCAAACTAAAAGGACAGCTAGATCAGGAGTGGAAACATAGAAATGAAGATCTCAAGGAGGGTTAGCAACAGGAGTGTGGGAGGAGGAGAAAGGGGGAGAAGGTACAAAAAATAAATAGCATAGACAGTAGATAGAAAATAGAAGGGGGGGCAAGAATAGCATGGGAAATATAGAATCTAAAGGACTTGAGACACTTGGTCATAAACTAAAGGGGGGGTAATGGTGGGGATGGGGGGTAGGGTGGAGGGGAATGAAAGGGGGAATAGAACTGTAACAGCATAATCAATAAAATTTTAAAAAAAAGATTCATTTATCTAAGTGGAAACTTCAGGACTATTTAGATATATCGAATACTTTTTTCCGTTATTCATTAGTTACTTTAGGTCATCCCCAAAATTTGATTATCAAATGTGTAGTTGACTCTAAAGACACCTAATATTATTTACTAATTTCAGTTATTTGCAAAATTATCTGGTAACCGTATAAAACCAAGGGATGACAGAATGTAAGATCATGCATTACCTTTCTAATGAAACCATTACCAGACTGTTAAAAGTATTTGAATTCCCTGGTGATATTTTTAGTTATTGAAACAATTCATTTTGTGACAATTAACACTAAATAAGCAGTATGTTTATCTTTGTTTCCACTTACCTATACAGTTCTTTAGTAGTGGATCAATAGGTTGTGGATGATCAGAAATAGTAAACTTTACAGCTGTAACCACTGAGCTTCGGGCATATGATGAGCCTAATTAAAAACAAATTTCAGCCTATTGGTATGCAAGTCCGCTAAAATCCATGGACATCTTCATCAACTTTCAAACCACTCCACATAACACTAGAGCCTTCAATTTGTAAAAATCCTCTTTGGCCACGAGGGGTATTGCTATCAGAGTGCTAACAGCAGGCAAAGTTTACTCGTGAACATAATCTCATCATACAGAGTCCAGCAGAAGTAAAGCCTGCTTGAGTGTGGTTGGTAGGGTAATAATATGGGTGGACAGTTTATAGTTTTAACTTGAACATTTCACCTAAAATGTCATATAGTGTGGTGGAGTATGATATTGTTATGTTACAGAATTACATGCTTATGATTTTGTAATAATGAAGGGGTGTTATTTGTGCCAGACCCTGTATTTCAAAAGATGTACTTTCTTCTGGGAAGGAGGAGGCCTTACAGAGCAGCAGTGGAGGGCCTAGCCCTTGCAAAAGGGAATTAATTAACATCCATAAATTATTATAGCATCTTCTAGTTTTTAATTAAAAAAAGAAAGCAAATTCTAAGAATAAATGGCTATTATTACGTTCTACTTGGCCTAACGGGATTCACACTGGTTAATCTGAAAACTCTTCTAGAATCTTTCATTTGAACTAGTTATATGCATTAATTTTAGCATTATAATTTTTACTAGCAAGCTCCTCAGGATATATTAATTCCAGATATACCTGTCTTTACCATATTTTAAGACAAAAGAGTAACATTAGAACATAATGAACACTAGAACAGACTCATTTAACCATTATCTAATTATGCTCTCTTTACTCTTTTATACAAAATGTCACTTGAAAATAGCTTCATATTATAACATAAGGCAATGGGTCCTATATTTAACAAGACATAGAAATGTTTTAAATGCACATACGGCATCTTTTAAGGCAACCAACTACTAATAACTGAAATTTTTTTAAATAAAAAAACTAGGTATTTACCTGATATCAAGTACCCCTTAAGCCGTGGAAGGAGAGTTTCTGGATCAATTAGAGTGAGTTTGCCTAGACATTCAGCAACAACATTTCTGGTTCCTTCTTCTGCACACTCACAGTGCTTTAGCAGTAAAGCCCAGATGTTTTCAACATATGGTTTAAGGCCCACCACTGATGCAGAGCTAATAATTTCCTTCAAGGAATGAAGCAGAAGATACTGCCTTTTGGGTTGACTGGTTATTTCTTGTAAGACAAATGGTAGATATTCAGGAAGGTTGCCCACACTAATACTGCCTAATGCATAAGATGCAGCTGATTTGACTTCTTCACTAGGAGACGAGAAGGCTTCTAATATTACAGATTTTAGTTCCAGCTGCCCACTTAAGTCAATATGATGCCCAACTTCTCCAAGAGAAAGCAGAGCTAACAGACGAATAGAATCTGTAGACCTTGAGTTCTTGACATCTTGAATAAACTGACCTACTACAGCTGGTCCTTCTTTAGGACACGCTCGAGTAAGGGCAGCTACACATTTGGCAATGGAATAATAAGACTGCTTGTGAGTAAGAGCTGTGCTCTGAGAATAAACCGGACCAGTCAGCATGCGCAACAAATCCATGTATCCTAGGTTATTTGTTCCAGTGACAACCAGAGCCTGGAAAAAGTCTAGCATGGCGCTGAGAGCACCCCCCTGCAATAACGGTGATCTCACAAGTCCAATGAGTTCATTGAGAATGGATCCACTTATCTTTGAAAGGGAGGAGGGATACACTTTTGCCAGCGTGGTAAGAAAGCTGATAGCCATCTGTGAAACATGCATATCACTTTCACTGATAAGAGGTGGGAGCTCATCTAGAACTGCATCAATCATGGCAGCTGTCAAGCTGTCACTATAGTTTTTAATGAGAATATCTAGGGCAGAAAGAGTACCCAGTTTCAAAGCTCTCTGGTTTTTCCTGAGAAATGAAGCAAGGATGGGAACCCCTTCTCCCAGGACAGGCCTCAAATCTATCTTCAAAGGTGACCCAGCAATCAGTGTCAACGCCTTCACTGTAGTTAACCTTGTAATTTCATTCTTCAGTCTCTCCAAGAAAATCTGAAGTGTATTAGGCAAGTCAGAACCCAAATTGTCTCCAAGGTTGCAAATAATTTGTCCCATACAGGAAATAGCCCTTTCTTTGACTTCCTGATCAATATCAGCTGCTTTTAACCTCTTAATGGTACAGGTAAATAGATCTTTGATGTAAGGAGTTGCGTCAAACGAGGAAGGCTGATCTAAGGGACGAATTACTTTGACAAGCTGTTGGGTAACAAGAAGTGCTTCAGATGTAATCTTGTAAAATGGGTCTCCAACACAAGCCACCACTGGAGGGACCAGAGCCTGAACATGAGGATGGAAGACTTGAGGAGAGTGGTTACAGAGGATTACATACAGACACGACAAAGCATCGATCTTCAAATTTGATGAGCTTGACTTATCATTCAATGAGAAAATGATTCCTAAAAAGCCAATAAAAAATCCAATAATTTTATGCATAGTTTTATGAAAAGAAAAATTAAAAACTAATCCCTAAAATATTACTAGTTTCTACTTCATTACATTATCACTAAAGTAGAAGCTGTGCAATCTATAGGAGAGCCCAAGGTTTTAGGATTAAGATATAACTTTTTACTTTCCAATTTCTAACTTTAAGTTTGTTTTACAACAAAGTTAGTTCTATGTACAAATTAAGTTGTCACAAATTATCCTCTTAAAGGAACATTTAAGCTTATCTAGTCTTTATAATAAAGTCTATATTAAGTTCCAAAAGTGATTTGCTACTTCTTTCATACCTGGTACAAGAACAGGGATGTGCTGCGTTAGGGCCCCAGGTAATACATTTACCAGTTCAGTTAACATGTTAAAACAACACTGTCGGGTCTTCACGCTTTTTTCTTTCATCTGTTTGTGCAGAGCTTTAACAATGTTGGGAACCTGTAATTACCACACACTCATTAGCTGTTTCAGCTACTGGTATTTCTTTAGTACACTTAACACAAATTACAAGGGATGAAAAGAAAGGGAAGAATTTATCTTTTTCTGGTTAAATTTCTAATTCCTCTAACTGCTAACAAAATTGTTAGATACAAACTTTGTTGCATCAATTCCATTCTCTTCTAACTGTATTTCTTTAATACTTGACAGAAATTGTTAGCTTTCTGAAAAACAACAAATTAGTCTCCTTGATTAATTTTTAATTATGAAATGCACAAGATTAAATAGAAATCTAACCAAATATAAAGTTTTCAACTAAAAATTTCAGAGCATAATTTATAAATGTTTTTTTCTGAACACAGCACAGATAAATATTCAAGGAAAAAAATAAGACAAATTATAAAAAAGAAACCACTAAATGAGCCGTCTTTTCTGCTTTTAGTTTGCCATTATAATAATCTCACTTCAAATGTAGCTGCAAGCAGCAGAGATACGATTAAAAAATGTATGCTTCTTTACTTTCTATCTAGTCTAATGTTCTGTTGGTAAAACCTACAGTAAAAATTTACTACTAATAAATTTTATGAATGCCAAGATAAAGCCACATATATCAATCAATGATCTGAGAAGTACAGACAAAACGCCTATCTAATTCATCACAGTATCAACAGAATTTCCTATGATTTTACCTAACTTCTGTATACTTTTTCAATTGCTTATATACCCATATACTTTACCTTATTTCTTTCTATAATTAATCTTCAATGTTCACCTTTAAGTTCACTACAATTTTTTTTAATTTGTCCTACTTGAAAACAAGGTAAATGTGGTATGTACATCTCTCTCCCTTGGTTTAGTTGTTTAATCTGGCTCTCATGTTTTGTAATCTATAAAAATGGACAAATGGGATTAAAAAAATAAATAAAAGCCATAGGCAGTGTGGCTCAGTTGGTTGGAGCATCATCCCATAAACTGAAAGGTCATAGGCACATGCCTAAAATGCAGGTTCAATTCCCAGTCAGGGATTGTATGAGAGGCAACTGACTAACTGATGTTTCTCTCCCCTAAACCCCTCCAAAATTAACGAGCATGTCGTTGGGTAAGGATTTAAAAAACTACAAATATGGCCGTGGCTGGTGGGGCTCAGTGGATTGAGCACTGGCCTGTGAATCAAAGGACCCTAGTTCCATTACCAGTCAGGGCACAGGCCTGGGTTGTGGGCCAGGTTCCCAGTAGGGGATGTGTGAGAGGCAACCACACATTGATGTTTCCCTCTCTTTCTTCCTCCCTTCCCCTCTCTCTAAAAATAAATAAAATCTTAAAAAAAAATAAAAAACAACAAATATGCATTCCATTGGGCTACCACAAGGATTACATGTATGATAGGAAAATGCCAAGCGTGTGCCAAACAGAAGCTATATAGATGTAATGTTTACAATCTTAGAAAAGATGCCCTAAAAGTGAAAATGTGTATTTTATTAACAATAAGGGATGCCATTTTTTAGAAGTACTAAGTAAGACACTACATCTAATGTTACACAGATCATCTCTTCTATCATTACCTTGGGCAGACAGTTCTAAGTATACCCTTATTACAAATGAAAAAAGGTTTAATAAAATGAATAATCTCTCTAAGCTCACACAACTAAATTAGAAGTGAAGCCAGCTACAAATGTAAGTAGTCTGACTCCACAGTTCTAAGACCCCCCCATTAGTATCACAGATAAAAATTACTTTACTAAACCATAAATTTTACTACTATTTAGTACAATTAAGAAAACTTCAATCAAAATAAAACTATATACAAGTGAGCTATATGAACAAACAAACTACTATGCAAACATATCTCAGAACGTTGTGTCTCTAAAGATGTTCTGGAATTCTCATTTCCACATTAAAAATACCATTTTAAAGGATATATACTACCATAACTTTCAAAACCATACTTTACACCAACCTGACTCTGAAGCATTGTCAAAGGCGTCTCTCCCTGTTCCATTGCATCAGGGTCACAGAGCCAACTTTGCACAGGACGAGTTTGCTTCAAAAGGGAAAGATACGCATGAAAAACATCTGCCTTTACATTCTCTTCTCGCTCTTTAAATCTGGATATCAATGCAGGGGAGACAGTCTTGTAGAATTCTGGAAGCATTTCATGCCTTGTGCTAACCACAGCATCCAGGCATTTAGCAGCTGCACGCCTCACTTTCCAGCTCATGTCGTCATCATCACTGTATTCATCATCACTCCCTAAAGAGAAGTTTTAATTGTTAGGCTATTAATCACAGAAAAAGTTTATTTTTAATATAGTAAGTGAATTATTAATAAAATAGTTTTCTAACTTTTCACTAATATATACAACAGTAGGTAAGTTTATGAAGAACTAAAACAGATGAAGTTAACTTTGATAAATTTACACATAATAACCTCTCTGAAGAAAAATCATAATTGTGTTTTTAAACTGTTAAACATCTTCTCTTTTATAGTGTAATGAGCTGCTTATTAACCCTTTCAAATCATTAACAGTAAATTTCTTTAGAACATGAATACTTGCAAAATTATATATGCCCCAGCCCTTAAACAAGATGAATAAAAGTTCATTTCAAAGAAATCACTTGACACTATTGAAAAATCAAACAAACAATTGGGGAGTTTATAAGATAACCCATAAAACAGATTTGTGGATATAGATGATGTGATAAAAACAGCTATCAATCTCAGGACATTCAGTAGAAATAATTTTCTGGGGAGAAAAAGAATTCTGACATCAACTTTCTTTGTGACTATAAGACTTTTCACTTAACTTATTAATGGGGGGAGGGGGCTGTTAAGAGCAAATGTGCATATTTGTAACCTTTCAAGATACTATCTTAATGTAGTTTAGAGAAATTACACTGTCTCAATTATAACAAGAAAATTCTGCCCATGTAACAGAGCACCATCTTCTCCAAACTCTTATTAAACTTTAAAACAATATTGCAACCATAAATGTTAACAATTCCATCCCATTTATGTATGCTTGATAACTTTTGTGTGTGTGAAATCTCTGAAAATTATTTTCTTCTAACAGCATCAGGATGAATCAGTTGAGTAACATGGATGGCAAAAAAAAGCAGTTCTCAGGGCAGTCCAAAATTATCTAACAACAATTCTGTTATTCTTAGAAAAGAGTAAATAAAGCCCTGCCTGACATGATTCCTCAGTGGAGGAAAAAGATATCATCTCTTCACTGACTTATATCCCAATTAGCTAGTGAAAGGTAGCCAGCCATGCCTTAGGAAAATCCAAGGATATATAATAAAGTTGTCCAATCTCATTACTTCATTTCCTCTTAGCACATTATAGGAAAACCCAACCAAATACTGCTAAACCCAAGGCATTTGATTCATTTACCAATACCTATTTTAATAAAAATTACAAGGTACTATCAAAATAGACTATTTAAAAGCAAATAAATAAGCGAAGTTTTTCTCATGACAATTCAGCTGTGGGGTAACTTTGCAGAAATATACTTTATTTGAAAAAGGTTATAAAAATTCAAACATCCTAATCACTGTAACTGATACAGCAGCTGAAGTTGATTTTTCATCTAAATACACTAAAAGCCAACAATCAAAACCTGGAAAATATATTGCTACAGCTTTTTTCAAAGGATATGCATATTAGAATCTAAGATTTCCCTTCATTAATACAACACATTTATTGAGTGACTACTGTGTGTCAAGCACTATCCTAGGCACTGAGATATAGCAGTCAATAAAGAGATTAAATATTTCTGCCTTCATGAAGCTTATATCCTGCTAAGTAGAAAATAATTATTAAATGCCAGAAAGTGATTAAGTGTAATGAACAAAATAAAAATGCTGAAATATAAAGTAAGGGAAAAGCCCTGAGACTGGGGATGGGGGGAGGCAGGAGAGGCAAGAAAAGTGAGAAAAAGTAATCAGATATAACACCAAATTTTTTGGCCTGAGAAACTAAAAAAAAGAATGGAGGTGCCATTCTGAGGCAGAAAAGGCTAAAGAAACAGGTTGGGCAGGGCATGGAAGAAGGGTGAGGAGAAGATATTTTAGACATCTATGCAGTAAATCAATTAAATAGCTATATATAAAAACCTGGAATTCGCAGGAAAGAGCTGGGATAAGATAAAATTTGGATTTTCAGCACACTGACATTAAAGCCAGAAGACTAGATGAAATCAACAAGAACATAAGCATATAAAAGAAAAGTCCAAGGAGTGAGCCCTGGAATTCTCCAAAGTTTAGGGGTCAGGGTGATAAAGAGGAATCAGTATGGAGACTGAGAAGGAGTAATCACAAAGATAGGGCTAAAACCAGGAGTGGAGTATCCTGAATGTTACATGAAGAAATGCTGCTGAGACTGAGCAACAGGGAGAATCAATCGTTTGAGGTCACTGACAATCCTGTCCACTGCAAAACTAGATCCAAGAGAGAAAAGGAAGAAAGGGACTGGAAAGCATTCTTTGTAAAGGAAAGAAACTGGGCAGTAGTGGCTAGAGCATGGCTTTAGGAGTTTTTTTAAGTTGTTCTTTTTGTTAAGAGATTAATAAAATTACAGACTTAAAGTCATTATTTAATTCATTCAAAGAATCAAACTAAAAAGAATGATAAAAAAAATGAGAGGAAAGTCACCAACTCGTATACCTAGCAGTTACTTACCCACTTAGACATCTCCATTATGATTCTTTTAACAGTAGCAAACAACAAAACATGGGCAATCCCTGTGTCCTTGAAGTGCTACTCCTTTCCAGAGTAAATATCATAAATCATAGCATGACATCAATCTTAAGAGCCTCGGAAAAGTTTAGCTTCATTACGAATAATCTAAAGCTCAGTGGAGCCTCAAACAACAATTAGAATTTTTCATGAAAGTACCTACGCATCAAGTAACCAACCACACTGCTCTGAATATGTTTATCTACAGGTTGTTATAAAAATAACCTTCGCCCTGGCTGGTGTAGCTCACTGGATTTGAACCAGAGTATCGCGGTTCAATTTCCAGTCAGGGCACATGCCTGGGTTGCAGGCCAGTTCTCGGCAGGGGACACACTAGAGGCAACCACACATTGATATTTCTCTCCCCCTCTCCTTCCCTTCCCCTTTAAAGATAAATAAATAAAATATTTTTTTAAAAAAACCTCCTTAACCTTAACCTTTATTTCCCTCCTTAACAAATGCTTTGTAGAAATTTGAAGAACAACGAAGAACAAAATTCATTTAATTGCTAGCCATGAGAAAAGTATTAGTTAGATTTCTTCTGCATATTTTTTTTAATTGTTAAAATAAACCCCACCGGCCCCAAATGGCATCACTGGTGCTAAGAGCTCATAATACCAAACCTAAATTTAATACCTGATCTAACTGCAATTTCAACTTCTCTCGGAAACATAATCTTAAATATTAGGAATATTCTGGTCAAGCATCAGTAAGATAATCTCTTACATACGGCTCTCTCCATCCTCCACAGAAAAAAGAGACAATCTATATAAATAAAACCCTCTTCCTAAGAAAAGACATCCAAGCCCCAAAATAACCCTTTATTTCCTTTCTCTAGTAACTCCTTTGTCCTACCCTTCTTCCTATAAAAAATCCTTCATTTTGCACAACTCTCAGAGAGACCTTCTCGTTGCTAGATGGGATACTGTCTGATTCATAAATCCTTTAATTAAAGCCAATTAGATCTTCAAATTAAATGGGCCGAATTTTGTTTTTTAACAAAAGAAAACTGAGACACAGTAATTTCTGTTACCCACTTTCCCCTCAACTTATTAACTGCTTTAATAAATATTTTTCTAGAACATGTTTAGAAAATATTGCACATCAGTTCAATACATGGATCCCCATAATTTATTTAATCAATTTGCTATTGTTGAATATTGAGGTCACTTCCATTTTCACTATTACAAATAAATAAATAAATTATTAGTGCAATTTGGGGTAAGAATTAACTCCATCTATGTAACAGTGGTCTTTCATGAGAATTTAACAAATTTCTTCTATTTAATTTGAAATACCTTGGTCATCATCATCACCACCATCAGCATCCATGGCATTTTCATCTTCATCTTCATCATCATAATTATAATTCGGGTCATAGGTGAGATATTTAAGACAAATATTTATAATGGTAGAAACATGAGGATATACTTCCTTAGGACATCTGAAGAAAGAAAACAAAAGCTGTCTTCAGTAACTGTATTTTTCTCCTTGACTCAGTCCCTGCCACATTTTGCTCTGTTACCAGATTTTTTTCCTCCCCTTTAACACAGCATAGGAAAGTGGTTCTCAGCCTTCTCCATGCCAGTGCCCCTACATCTTTCTCTCCCATCAAATTACTTATTTAAGCAATTTTACCATGAACTTTAACCATCACATTTTAGCATCTCTGAAGTCGGAATGATTTTTACAACAATGGTTATGTTGGGGTATGTAAGGGGGACAGCATAGAGATATCTGTATACAGTAGTTCCTCCTCATCCGTCAGTTTCATGTATCCGTCAGTTCCTTGGTTGGTACTGCAGACAGTATCAACCAGGTACTACTGTTGGGTCTGTAGCAAACCCTATATATATTGTTTTTGCCTATATATACATAAACTTTTATGTCTTCTCTTTGGCATATCAGAACTGCCGGCTGTACTACTCTTATATGTGAGGGCCATTACAGTCATACAGTTGCTTACAGTATTCAGTACAGTAACATGCTGAATAGGCTTGTAGCCTAGGAATTTATAGGGGAACAGAATTTGTCACCCCAAAATAAGTCTCTTTGGCATAAGGATTACATTAGGCTGGTTAATATAACAGCAGACATGAGAAAATCTCAGAAGACCAAGTATAAGTTACTCTGTGTAAAAGACATTTACATTTTTAAGGAAAAATCTCTTTCTGATGGTTTCTTCTTGGCTGTACTAGAAAGAGGGAGATGACCTTATCTCTAAAAATTTGTATCAATGAAGGCAAGGATTCAAATCCATGTAACAATTTCCCCTTGTTTATTGTAAATTCCCATAACCAACTCCCCCCACACCCCCCACTGCTAACACCACCTTTTCTCTGCAACTAAAGATGGTATTTAAGTGGTGGCTTTAGCCATTTGGGCAAGTTAGTTTTCACGAGCATCTGCCATGTAGACATGAGGTATACGTATTATTAAACTTGTTTTCTTCTTGCTAATTAGTCTTAGTACAAGCAGTCTCAACCAAGAACTCAGAAGGGTAGAGAGAAAATTACTTTTGCTCCCTTACAGGACAATAGGCTATACAACACAGGGCAGTAGGCTATACCATCAAGATGTGTTTAAATGCACTCTATGTTTGCATAAGAAAAAAACCACCTAATAAGAAATATCTGAATATATCCCTGTCATGAAGCAGCACATGACTGTATTAAGTAAAAGACATACTATAACATGCAGCAGTGGCTCTGATAAGAGAGACAGCTAAAGGTCTCAAGCATATAGAGCATGGACACACTGGACAAAGCGATGTTTTAATGCTCCCACAGAATGGTGAGATTTCATTAGGCTACGCAAAACGGTGCAATTTACCCTTTGTGACGGTATGGATGGATTCAGAGAACACTATGCTAAGTGAAATAAGCCAGTCAAAGAAAGACAAACATTGTATGATTTCACTCATGTGTGGAATCTAATGAACTGAACTAATAAGCAAAACAGAGACAGACTCACAGATGGAGAGCAGATGACAGCTAAGGGATAAGGGGAGGTTATTGGGTAGATGGACAGAATAAAAAGGAAAAAGGACTCATGGACAACAGTGATGATTGGGAGGTGGGGATATAAGGGAACTAAGTGGTAATGGAAAAAATACAATAAAAAATATAATAATAAAAAATAAAACCTATGAATTGCTTAGTTCTGGAATGTTCCATTTAATATTTTTGGAGCAACTGACGGTGGGCAACTGAAATCTCAGAGAGAGAAACCACAAATAAGGGAGACTTATATGCAGTATCTTTTCAATATATGACCAGAAGACTAAAGCCTGTATGGACTTCATCTTTAAGAATTAGTATTATCATGAAAATGCCAGTGCACCTTCTTCTAGGCTTGGTTTTCTAGTTATATGTTAAGAAGACATATTATATGTACCTGTATATATAGAGAGCAAGAGAAACATACATATACACACTCTGAAATAATGGAATAACTTGTTTCTTGATTAAATGAATCCCACGATTTCTGATTTTAACAATTCGATACAATTATAAAGCAACTTCAAACCATGAGTAGCAAGGGATTGCTGCAAATAACCACCAGTGAAGTCTCAAGACTGTACTGTGCTACTACACTAGCTCAAGGGGGGAAGAGGGAATGTTACATGGCCCCTAATAGTACATTGGCAGATTTTATTAGATTAAGAACCACTGCTCTAGCAAAATGGACATGACAAACCTCAAAAAATTGTTGAAAAGTTACAAAATTTGCTATACATTTATACATTTCTGGTCAGATTGCTGGCTATCAGTAAAATAACTTATTTCTCACCATCCGCCTAATCTGGATCATAATTGTTATTCTATTTTTAATAAAAATTTTTGCCCTGGCTTGTGCGGCTCAGTGGACTGAGTGCTGGTCTGCAAAAGGTTCACCAGTTCGATTTCCAGTCAGGGCACGTGCCCAACTGCAGGTCCGGTCCCCAGTAGGGGACACAACCACAGACTGCTATTTTTCTCCCTTCCTTTCTCCCTCCCTTCTCCTTTCTAAAAATAAATAAATAGGGGACTTCTGGCCAAGATGAAGGTATAACTAGATACACTTTGCCTCCCTGAACAACCAAAAGAAGAACAACAAAATTTTTTTTAATGCCACAAAATCAAACTGTATGGAAGTCCAACAACAAAGGAGTTAAAAGAAACATTCATTGAGACTGGTAGGAGCGGTTGAGACAGGCAGCCAGGGTGGAGAGGATATGCAGGACTGCAGCAGCAAAGGATCCTTTGCAGGCAGTCCCACATCTGCATGCAGAGAAACCCAGAGGAACAACTACAAACCAGGGTTCCAGCCCTGGGAAATAAAGCCTCAAAGCCTCTGGCTGTAAATACCTGTGGGCAGTGGGAGAAACTCCCAGCCTCCCAGAGAGTTCACTGGAAAGACCCACAGGGTCCTAAAACTAATGCAAACCCATCCACTGGGGAAACGGCACCAGAAGGGCCCAATTTGCTTATGAGTAGTGGGGGAAATGACTGAAAGCTGGCAGCATTTGTTCCTTCTCTGACCCCTCCTCCACAGACAGTGCCACAATGCAGTGATGTGGGTTGCCCTGCCCGGATGAATACCTAAGGTCCCACTGAGACAAAGAAATACCGCCCAAATGAAAGAACAGATCAAAGCTCCAAGAACAGAATTAAGCGATAAAGAGACAAACAACCTATCAGATGCAGAGTTCAAACACCGGTAATCTGGATGCTCACAAATGGTTGAGTATTGTTGAAAATAGAGGAAAAAGTGAAGGCTATGCAAAGTGAAATAAATACAGGGAATAAAACCAGGACTCAAATCTATGATTTGGAACAAATGGAAGAAATAAATATTCAACCGGAACAGAATGAAGAAACAAGAATTCAAAAATGAGGAGAGGCTTAAGAATCTCTGGGGCACCTTTAAATGTTCCAGTAGTCAAATCATAAGGGTGCCAGAAGGAGAAGAGAAAGAGCAAGAAATCGAAATCTTATTTGAAAAAATAATGAAAGAGAATTTCTCCAATCTGGCAAAGAAAGTGGACTTCTAGGAAGTCCAGGAAGCTCAGAGAGTCCCAAAGAAGTTGGACCCAAGGAAGTACACACCAAGGCACATCACAATTACATTACCCAAGATTAAAGATAAGGAGAGAATCTTAAAAGCAGCGAGAGAAAAGGACACAGTTACCTACAAAGGAGTTCCTAGAAGATTATCAGCTAATTTCTCAAAAGAAACCTTGTATGCAAAAAGGGACTGGAAAGAAGTATTCAAAGTCATGAAAGAGAAGGACCTACGTCCAAGATTACTCTATCCAGCAAAGCTATCCTTCAGAATGAAAGAGCAGATAAAAGTGCTTCCCAGATAAGGTCAAATTAAAGGAGTTCATCATCACCAAGCTTTTAGTATATGAAATGTTAAAGGGATTTATCTAAGGAAAAGAAGAAGATAAAAAACATGAACAGTAAAATGGCAACAAACTCACAACTATCAACAAATGAACCTAAACAAAATAAAAAACAAAAACAAACTAAGCAAACAACTAGAACAAGAACAGAAACACAGAAATGGAGATCACATGGAGAATTAACAGCCAGGAGAAGGGAAGGGAATGGGGGGAATTAAGTACACGGAATAAGAAGTATAAATGTAAGTACAAAATAGACTGAGGGAGGTTAAAAAAGCCAAAGAACTTATATGTACGACCCACAGACATGAACTAAGGGGTGGGGGTGGGGGATGCGGGTGGGAAGAGTGGTACGGGGAAGAGAATAAAGGGGAAGAAAGGGGACAACTGTAGTAGTAAAATCAATAACATATTTAAAAATAAAATTAAAACCAAATCTTTTAAAAAGAAAAATTTTTATTTAAAAATAGGTATCTTAAAAACTTACCTTCTCACAAATGATTCAAAGGCTTGAATGCAGTATTCTCTTAATTCATCATCATCTACATTACAAAATTTTACCACCAAAGGAATTATCTTCTCAAGGTATTCACCTAGGAAGAGCATATTGGTTCTTAAAAACATCCATTAATACTTTTTTTAATTAAAAAAAAACTTGAAAATATTTAAACATTTCTTACCTATTCTATGACCAGCTTGCCTACTAATAGCAGCAATACATTGTATGTAGGTTCTTGTTGTTGACATGGAATCATTTTTGGACAACTCTGACAAAAGGTGTTCAATAAGATCTACAAAAACTATATTTCCACAGCTCATAACCAGATGGCCAAGAGCAATAATGGTTCTTTTCCTTACTGCAAGTCTAGGGCTGGTCAACTGGGGGAGTAGACAGGTCAGAATTGAAGGATGGAAATTAACAAGAAGTCCTCCTTGCCTTAAAATAAAATAAAAAAAGAAATGACAAATAAATTCAGGATATTTGAGCATTACTGAAATGTCTGGACTCTGAACTCACTGTAGTTGAAGATTAAAAATCTATATGACATAATCCAAAATCAGAATGAAAGAAAAACTAAATCTTACTATCCGTACCAACTCAATTGAAAATGTGAGCTAAGTGAATGCAGTTTTGACATTTGTAGCCCTAAATTACCTTCTAGAAGCTTGACCTATATTCTTATTTATAGAATATCCAACCAACACTCTTGTGAGCATATAAAAAGAACAGCAATGATCTTGTCACTTTCCCCTTCCTAGATCTCTCAATTTTCTGTATTAGATAGCTTTTCCTCCATTACAGTTCTTTCACAGTTCAAAACTTAAAATATCAGCATCTCTTGACTACCCCCTCCCCCTACTGTCATTCCTCTACACATTTATGTACTAAATTTCACTTAACCTGTTGGTCTAACCCTCTCTTCTAACTCATTTCACATGTGTAGTTCAATGAGTCAACAGCAACCAAATATCTATGTGCCAAAAAAAAGCTAATATTTAAGGCACAGAGCGCAAAATGTCCCTGACTTCTATCAAAAATGACTTCCTACTATTCATTCTATATTCTGGAAAACTAGAATACAATTTCCCCTAACTCCATTACAATTGTTGATATATTCTATACATGGGCCTATACACCTGTGCTATATCCATTCTTCAAAATTAAATTCAAATGCTACTCTTTCCATACAAACTTTCTTGGATCCTTCCATTTTAAACCCTAAAACACATACTTGCCATCAGTATTTATTCTCATTTTGTCTTATGGCCATTTGTGTTCTAATCTGTAGTCCTACAGTAAAGTATTGCTGTCCATTATGTACCATATGAAGGCACTTGATTATTTATTTTTAAGTTGAGGTGCATTAGCCACAAGTAATGATAACGTATAATGATTATGCAAATCAAGAATAAACTGAAATTGACAGGTGTCTGAGGTGTTTTCCTTTTGGAGTTGTTTAGATAGATCTTTGTATCTCCCAAAGTCTGACTTCCAAAGAAAAATAGAAAAGTAACAGATGTAAAAAGACAAAAACATGCACTATAAATATGGTCACTGAAGTTTACAAATAGCATTATATTAACTGGAACATTTGCCATGCCTACAGGTACATCTTATCTAAGTAGATCATTGTATTCAAGTATATACAAGAGTAAAAAAAAAAAAAACCACTTTGCTGAAATATTTAAATCACAAATTTTATTAATTATTTCTCAAAACCATATAAAACATGTTTGCTAGGCAATATTACATGATAAATATAACTAGCTTATCTTTCCCCTCACTCCCAACTACACACTTACAAATAGCCACAATTTAAACATGAATAACTTTAGACCAAGTTTTATTATATTTATCAGAAGGGGGTTTTAACAAACATACATAATATTTATATTAAAAGTACTACAAATTATAGGCATGTTTACCTGCTCAACATATCAGCCATAATATCCAAGGCTTCTAGTTGAACAGAGACATCTTCCTGCTTTGCTATTGCACTGGTAAGACGTCCAGTAATCTTTTTACATACATTAGCAGCTAATGCGGAGCCTGCATGAATAAAAACCAATGATAATTTCAAGGCAAGTATACTGAATTCCACTTTATATTCACAGAAGATGCCAAGTAATTCAACAACTATAAACTTGATTATGACAGATTCAAGAGATCCATGTCACAAAAACATGTATTTCGAAATGGGTTGTTTCTCAATAAAATAACTTATTAGACAAAAGTTAGACATAACTGCAGAAGGAGCACATGATCTAGGGAAAACAATATCGACTGAAATAGGGTCTAGTGGACAACTATTCCCCTTGCATAGCATGAATGCCAAATATGGAGTCAGTAGTAGCTGTAAAGTTCTTGGTAAGAAGCAAGGGAGTCCCTCTTCACTAGTACCTAGGCTTTTAAATTTCAGTGACTTAAAAACCAACAATAAGTTTTCTTTAAAAAAAAAAAAAGAAAAAACGTAACTGTAACTTCTAATAAAATCCAATCCAGTCCAAAGATTTCCATAACTTCACTACAAAATAAAAATGTTGCTCCAGAGAACTCATAAATGAAGGTTACTATTTTAAAGCAGATTTGTGTTAATAAAAAGTGAGCAAAAAAATTGTTAAAGGAAGAATATAAATGGTTAACAACCAGAAACCAGCTAAAAAACAAACATTTCAATGGGAGGAAAAAATGAGGAAAATATCAATATAGCTAACACAATTACAAATAACATACCTTAGTTAGTGAAATATTTTATTGAAATTTAGGTTAAAGTAACATTGGTATGATATTTTAGAAAAAGCACCAGTTCTGGATTAAAAGATAATGGATTTGAATCTTCACCCAACTAGGTAATAAAAAACTTTGGAAGAATTAACATCATTTCCCTGATGTTCAATTCCTTCATCCACAAACTAGGAATATTAAGGCCTTCCATATGGCTGACATTTAGACTCAGTGAAATAATATACATGCACCATCCAACATGATAGCTAGCACAATGAATGGCTAATAAATGTTTTCTAAGTAGATGAGTAAAAACTACATACCCAGACTACATTACTACTAGTCCACATCTTTCCACCAAATAAGGAGACAATTTCACTCCATTTGCAGATGAGACAAAAACTTTTAGCCTGCTAACTTTAACCAGTAGGACAGCAGTTAAAGACCAATTCTAAAACATTATCTAAACATTTCTGTCAGAGGTCAAAAGCTAAATTAATCGACAAATTCTGTTTTTAATTTTTTAAAACACTGCTAAGTAGCTATAAGACACTCAACCTTAAAGATATTATTAGGAAACATAACTATTTCACAGCTGTCTTAACACTGTTAAAAGTTTTATATCATAAATCTAATGCAAAGCAAAATTAACAATGAGAATAAAGAGCTAATAGAAATAATTCATAATCTTGGTTATCTTTTCCCTCATTGTATAGAATGGCATAACTCCATTCTATAGTCATAGCACATACAATAATGTTAAACTTTACTCCAACATAAGAATTCTTCAGGATTGGTATTCCTATGAGATACTTAAATTCAATCAAAATACTCACTTAAAATTGAATTTACTTTTAAGCAAAAATAAAACTCCAGACTTTTTTTCCCCTTAGTTATTCAAAGGAATGCTTACCAAAGGTCTTTTAGGATAAATGCCTCTCTTCCTCCTTGGCCAGAAGTGAGGGAAAGAAAAAAGAGAAGAGTAGAGGAGAAATACCTCCAAATTAAACAGGAAGAAAAACGTTATCTTTCCTACTTACCACTGGAAGCTGGAGGAAGTTCTCCAATTACTGTTTTAAGGCCAATACTTGAAATATCTCGAAGCTGTTCTTTATCAGAAAGCATGTTTGTACAGAGGGTATCTACAATGGTCTCTACTTGGTATTCTTTCACTTTACTCACTAAGGGGCCAAGGCTGTAATATAAAGAAAAAAAACAAAATTTTACACCTAGACAAATACGAAAACAGAAAAATAAACAAATAGAAACGTTAACTTTCCTGCCTACACCTGTCAACACCAACTAAACACACTATGCCTGTATCATAAATAGTGTTCCTATAAGGGTATAAAAGAAATTCTTGATTCATAAGCTCCTTGAAGTTGGCTTCCAATTACTTTCCCACTGATTTCCATTACAGTATAAAGAAACTTGAGATAGTACTAGTTTGTGCTCTCAAAGCATCCTGTATTAACATGCTTTTCATAGTAGGATTTTATACAGCTAAAGGTCTGCATGTAGGTCCTCTCACTGGCTGAGGAGAGAGAAAAGTCATTCCTTGGTGTCCTTCCCGTAGAATTTAACACACAGTAGGTAATGCTAAGTGCATGAATACTCACTGAGGAGGAGCCATTATATTCAGGACTGTACTCAATAGCCAAAGAAAGCCCTTTTCACAAAAAATTTACCATGTGGTTGGTGAGGTAAGGAATTCACCTAACTACTTTACAAATGAATTAAAGACATTCTCTATTCTGCACAATTTTTGTTTAAAAAAATTTTAAATTCAATGTTAATATTTACAGGAGATTGCACCTAAGAGATTTTTAGGTACTGAGTGTTGATGGGATACAGTTAAAAAAAGAAAGGCACATCATATAAAAAGATCAGAGACTAGAATAAGTGGAATGCATATTGAAAGAAATGAGAAAACTAATACAAAAGGCAGATAAAAAACAATAATAGGAAACTTAGGCCACTGGGACAGTATAGAGAACCTTTAAAGTTAGACCAATAATTTTAAATGTGATGTGGTACAATTTGGAGTCAATGAATTTTCTCAAGCAAGTGACAATAAAAATAGTTTAATTTGGTCAATGCTTAGATCAATGTTTCACATATATATTTTCAATAAATAAATGCTGCTGATTGCTTGACTAGAGAAGTAGTAGGTAGAAAAATCTGAGGAAATAAGAGAAAGAAGGAAAAATAAACAAAAAGGTTAAAGAAACCCAAGAACAGTCCAATCCAAAATGATGGCAGTGACAACAAACACATGGCATATATGTAGTGAGACCTAATGTGAAACAATGAAAATTGGGATTAAAAACAAAAGGAATTCCAAAATAAATTTAAAGTGCTCTAGCTTCCATTAATGACAAAATAGCTTTGTTGGACTAACCCTCCTACAGATAACTATAAGACCTGTAAAACTATTTTAGAAAGCAACAATTTAAATACCAGATACTGATGAAACTAAAACCAGAGAGAAACTACTTAGATTTCATATCCAGTAAAATAACCTTTTGAAAATAAAGATAAATTAAGCCAATTTCAGTTAAAAGCTGAGAATATATTGCCACCAAACCTATACAACAAGAATTGCCAAAGGTCTCTGGGCTAAAGGAAAATTAAACCAGATAGTAACTTGAATTTACAGAAAGATACATCACCAGAAACAGTAAATATCCGTGTCTGTGTTACGAATTTTACATTTATGAACATAAACACACCCAAATATACTTTAAAAAACAACAAAGGAGAAAATGAAAAAATGTTACAAGGTTTACATAATTTATGTCACATGGCACATTAAATTCTAATAGACTGTGACAAATATAAGATGCAATTTATAATCCCTAGCCTACAATGACAATTTGAAAAATGTAATCAAATACATCTAAAAAGTCAACAAAGGAAATAAAAATTAAATATTGTAATACAGTGATTCCCAATGTTTTGGGTTTCAGAAACCCTTTTAAAACTTCCAAAATCAAACCTATTCAACAAAACAAACAAGCAAGCAAAATATAACTAGAGACATTGAAATTAAGAACAAACTGACAGTAACCAGAGGGGAGGTGGGAAGGGATACTGGGAGGAAAAGGGGGAAGGGTTTTCAAGAACATCTAAAGGACACACGGACAAAACCAAGGTGGGTGAGATCTAGGGTGGGAGGTGGGGGTGGGTTCAGGGGTAGGGGGATGGGGGGGAAATGGAGACAACTGTACTTGTACAATAAAAAATAAAAATCTTCCAAAAATCAATTAAGAACCTGAAGAACTTTTTTTTATGTTGGCTTTATTTGTCAATATTTACCATATTAAAAATTAAAAGTAAAAATAATAAACCCATTACATGTTAAAATAAATAACATTTTTAAGAAGAATAACTATATTCTCTAAAAATAGCATTTTACATTTTTGCAAATTAACTTTTGGACTTAAAAGAAAACAGAATTCAATCTATTATTATAGCACATATTGTGTGACCCCTGGAAAATTGTACTGTGTACTTAGGAGAAAAGGAGAGTCGAAGGAAAAATAAAACTTTAGTATTATTTATACGATAGTTTTGACACTTTCAGGATTGTGTGATATCCTAGACATCCCCAAATTAAAGTTTCAGAATTCCTGCTACAATATATTTGATTAACCCAAAGAAGGCAGAGGAAAAAAACCAACAAAAAAACCTTAGGAACAACAATAAAAAGAAAACAAGAAGAAAAATGGCACACTTAATCCAACTATATCAATATTTACAATAAATATCAATTGACTAATATAAGATACATAATCTAAAAATAAAAACAGCCCTGGTCGGTAGCTCAGTTGGTTAGTGTCGTTCTGATACACCAAGGTTGCATGTTGGTTCCCTTGCCAGGGCACTATGAGAACCAACCAATGAATGTATAAGTGGAACAACAAGTCAATGTTTCTCTCCCTCACTCTTCCTCTTTGTCTCTAAAATCAATTAAAGTAAATAAAAATAGAAATAAATGTAAATACAAAAATATAAAAACAAAACAAAAGAAAATAACATATAACCCTGATTGGTGCGGCTCAGTTGGTTGGGTGTCATCCTGCAAATGGAAAGGTCACAGTTGCACACCAGGGCACATGCCTATGCAGCAGGTTCAGTTCCAGGTCAGGGCAAGTATGAGAGACATCTGATAGATGCTTCTCTCTCACATCGATGTTTTCCCCCTTATCTTTCTCCCTCACTCCCCCATCTCTAAAAAAATTAATAAATAAAAATAAAATAATTTAAAATAAAAACAGATTGAAAGTTAAAATATAAAGAGATACAATAAACACTAATCTTAAAAATGTTGGAGAGATTGTATTAACATAAGCAAAAACATATTTCAAGATATGGTGTATTTAAAGAGAAATATTTTATATTCACGAAAAGGTCAAACATCAGAAAGACATATAATTACAGCCCTGACTGGTACGGCTCAGTAAACTGGGCATCGTCCTGCAAACCAAAAGGTCCCAGTTCAATTCCCAGTTTGGGCGCATGCCTGGGTTGAGGACCAGGTCCTCAGTTTGAGTTGGGGGCATGGAAGTGGCAACTGATCAATGTTTCTCTCCTTCTCTTTCTTCCTCCCTTCCCCTCTCTCTAAAACTAAATAAATAAAATCTTTTTTAAAAGAAAGATCATTATAAAGGTGTACATACCCAGTTATACAGCTTTAAAGTACATGAACAAAATCAACATTAAAAAGAAAAATAGATAAATTAAAAATTGTAACTAGACATTTTAACAGTCCTTTTGGTATTTAATATCAACAAAAGAAAAACTCACTAAGGATATAAATCTGAAGAACACTATCAAATAGCTTGACATACTGTATTTTTCGGACTATAGGACCCAACCTTGTCCCACCCCCCCCAATTTGGGAGGAATAATGGTCATTAATGCTGCTGTTGAGTTCTGTTTACATTTACATTGGTGAAATATTATGTTATTTATGTTATTAAATTTTTTACCACATTTTTTGCTTCAAAAAAGTTTTTCCTGTTTTTCTCCTCTAAAGCCTAGGTGTGTCTTATAGTCCAAAAAGTATGGGTAACTGACATTTCTAAAGCACTGTACTAAACTACTGCAGAGTACACTTTTTTCCCCAGTGTGCACAGAACACTGACCAAGACCTACCATATGGTGAACCATAAAACAAATCTCAGTAAGCAGACAAAACAAGCCAAAAAACAAACAAAACCACCCGAAATCGGAAACAGTATTGTTCTCTGTCCATAATGGAATTAAACTAAAAACCAGTAAAAATAAAAGTAAACACCTAGATAACCTCAACATTTAAAAACTGTTTCTGGCCTTGGCTTGTGTGGCTCAGTGGATTGAGTACCACCCTGCAAACCAAAGGGTCGCCGGTTTGATTCTCAGTCAGGGCGCATGCCTGGGTTGCACAGGCCAGGTCTCCATTTGGGGGCCTGGGAGAGGATACCACAAATTGATGTTTCTCTCTCCCTCCCTTCCCCTTTCTCTAAAAATAAGTAAGTCTTAAAAAATATAAAATTAAAAAAATTTGTTTCTGAAGAATCCATGGATCAAAGAAAAATCACAATGGAGGTAAAAACATTTCAAACTGAATAATAATAAAATTCCTCAAGAATTACTTAGAGAGAAAATATGCCTTTAAAGTCTGAGATTTAGAAAGGTGAGTAGAAGGAAAGTAGTAATAAGGAGAAATCATGAAATAAGCAACAAATAATAGAGAAAAATTAACAAACCATAAAATCTGTTCTTTGATAAGAGTAGTCAAGTTGGTAAATCCTTAATTAGCAGAATAAAGGGGGAAAATGAGAAAACACCACTTACCAAAATTAAGATTAAAAGAGGGGACTATTCACTGATGACAATTATTTAGGTACATAATCCTGAAAACTCAACAAAAAAGTATGAGATACTGCATTAAAGGACTCATTCTTGCTAAGATGGAGATCATCTTCAAGTATTTCCATAGCTTCAACACAGTCCCAATAAAAATTTGAGCAAGCTTATTTATAAAAAAATTGAAACTGACAAATTGGTTCTACAATTTACATGGAAATACAAAGAATCTAAAAAATCAAAAAAATTCTTGGGAAAGAAAAGAACGAAGCTGGGAAACTTATACTACCTTACTTCCATAGATCTACTCAAGCCTTTCTCAACCAAGAGCAATTTTTACCCTCCAGTAGACAGCCATTTGGTAATGTCTAGAGACATTCATTATTGTTATTATTATTATTATTTTGATTCCAGAGAGAGAGGAAGGGAGTTGAGAGAAACATTGATAAATTGCCTCCTGTATACACCCCAACCAGGAACTGAACCTGCAACCCAGGCCGTGTACCCTGACCAGGAATCAAACCAGTGACCTTTTGGTTTATGGGATGACGCTCCAACCCACAGAGCCACACTGGCCAGGACTAGAGACAATTTTGGTTGTCAACACTAACTACTGAGGGAAGATGGAATGCTGATGGCAAGTAGTGGGTTAAAGGCCAAATTGCTGCTAAATATCCTAAAATATACAGAATACACAAGAAAATTCTTAACAACAAAGAATTATCTGGCCCAAAAGTTAATAGGTCAAGGCTGAAGAAGCCTCAGCTACACTAATAAAACAGTGTTGTACTGGCATTAGAATAGATAAATAGATCAATGGAACAGAATACAGTCTAGAAATATTGGGTTAGCCAAAAAATACATTTAGTTTTTTATGATGGCTCTACTAGTGCTTAGTTGTTTTTAACTTCATTTGAAACAATCTTGTTCGAACTGTATTGTTGTGACAGCTGCCATCAGTGTGCATCAAAAAAAAAAAAAACCAACAAAATTGAAGATTTTTTGTGCAGCCATTTTAATACTGAAGATGGAAGAAATTACTTAACATCTTCAGTGCATTAAGAAAGGTGAAAACGTCCCTGGCTGGTGTAGCTCAGTGCACTGAGCCAGGCTTGTGAACCAAAGGGTCAGTGGTTCGATTCACAGTCTAGGGCATGTGCCTGGGCTGCGGGCCAGGTCCCCAGGAAGGGGTGTGCAAGAGGCAACCACACATTGATGTTTCTCTCCCTCTCTAAAAACAAAAGCTTAAAAAAAAAGTTAAAATTCACCTTAAACTAAATTTAAAACTAATATTAAAACCTTAAGTTCATGAAACTGGGAGAAAATATTTACAAAACATAAAACTATCAAAGGACTTATACCCAGAATATATGAAAAATACTTACAATTTTAAAAAATATTTTATTTATTTATTTCTAGACAGAAGGGAAGGGAGAGAGAAAGAGATGGAGAGAAACATCACTGTGTGGTTGCCTCTTGTGCACCCCCAACTGGGGACCCGGCCTGCAGTCCAGGCATGTGCCCTGACTGGGAATTGAACTGGCAACTCTGGTTCACAGGCTGGCGCTCAATCCAGAGCCACACCAGCCAGTGTGAAAAATACTTACGGTCTGATAATAAAGAAAACTTCATGTTTAAAAACTGGGAAGAGTCCACAAAAAATAAACAAATGGCCAGTAACACAAAATAGCACTGGCCATCATTAATTATTAGGCAAATATTTAAAACTATAACTGCACACCTACTAGAATAGCTAAAATTAAAGAGTGACACACAACCAAGTGTTGACGAAAATGTGGAGCAACTGGTACTTTTAGGTAAAATGGTACAAATATTTTGGGAAACAATGTGGCAGTCTCTTAATAAATCTAACTGGACAATAGCAATTTCATTCTTAGTAGTTACCCATAAGAAATAAAGACACACATACTAATTAAAAAGTACTCATACAGTAACATTTTTATCTTCATTAACAACAGCCAAACCCGAGCAAGAAACCAAGTATGTAACAGACTATGTTATCAATGAACTATTAATGAGTAATAGACTCATGATGGGTATATACACTAATAGACCCAATATGGATAAATCTCACAGATGTTATGAGAGTGAAAAAAGCCAGACACAAATGTGCACATACTATATGACTCCATTTAAATGAAGTTCTGCAACAAGCAAAACTAATTTAAGATAAACAAAACAATGGTGACCTCAAGTAGGGATATTGTACATGAGGTAAGAATATGATTTTATCTTTTAAAAATGGTTATCCAGTCTTTAGGAAAAAAGGTGAAACTTTTCACCAGTGATGCCACCGTCCTCATGTACTTTCCATTCTATTTTACTCCTCTGGTCTATTAATTTAATGCCTCACTATCTCACTGTTTTGATTACAGACACACAGAGTATGTTTTCCTATCTAGTAAGACTAATCAACACCTCTACTCTCACCCTCAACTGCAGCAACTGTTATACTTTCTTTTTTTTTTTTTTAGCTGTGACTCCAGACAGCATCCAAAGAAGGCGTTTTATAGAGACTTACTCTTCCCTTCTGTGCTGGCCTCTTCAGGCACTGCATCAACCTTTAAACTGCACAGGAAAAGGCAAACTGTTACACTTTAAAACCTACTGCCCCCTTATCCATCCCACCAAAATTACTTAAGCTTGTAGGGAAAAAATTACTAAGTTATGTAATTAGGTCAGCACTAAATTAACCTGGAGAAATTGAGTTATATCCTAATCCAAGAACATGGAATGTCTTTCCATTTGTTCTAAGTACATTTTTGTTATCCCTTGCAAGCATTTTTTTTCCTTCATGTAAGTTTTGAAAAAGATAAAATTGTAAGTTTCTCTTGTATTATACAATACCATCACTCAATCAAGGTCACCATTGTAACATTTTCTGTTAAACTTATCCCTAGGCATTTTATCTTCCCAATTGCTGTAAAAAATGGATATCTCCCAATTATTTGCTTGGGAGTTATTATTTGCTTATATGAAAGCTACTGGTTTTCCTTCATTATTTTTTATATCCTGTCACCTCACTGAATTCTTATCATTTAAATTTTTCCTGATTTTTCCCACGTTCCTTAATTCTTTTCTGTCTAATTTTTCTCCCTTATCTTAAATGTAGTAGGCACAGAGATACATCTTTGCCTTGTTCCTGACTTTTGTGTGGTAATTTATTGATATTTGAGTCGTGGTATGAATATGCGCGGTTACGAACTTTAATGTTAAAAAGGTACTATCCACTCCACATTATTAAATGTTTTACTTCGAACCAGCGATATATTCTCTGTAGTAAGATAAAGCATCCCTCACCTGTTCTTCCCAGTCATGACACATTAAATATGTGATTCTGGTCTTTGGAAGGTGCTTTCTTCACTCTAATTATCCAAAGCAGCCTAAGTATTGGGTTTTTTTGTTTGTTTAATCAAAATCAAAATAGAATCTTACAGTGACTTATCAACTAACCAGACAATTTTTTCCTTCCTCTGACCTATTAACACGATGAAATAAATGTACTAATACAGCACAAAATACTGAACTGCCCTATATTCTTAGGATGGATGTCGCTTATCATGGCATATTACACTTAAGATATTGTTTAGTTTTATTTTGAACTTTAAATGAAACTGGTCTGTAATTTTCTTTTACAGTGTTATCTTTAGTAAGGATTTATCAGTACTTAGTTTAAATAAAAGACTAGAAGGTTTTCATACTTCATATTCTAGAATAGTACTAGAACTATGCGTACTGGAATTACATATTTCAGTTTCCAAGAGTGTGTGAAACATATCTGGGCCTGAGTTTCTTTAGGATAATCAGTTCTTTGACAATTTTCCGAATTCCCTGATAAGGCTACTTTTTAACTCTCTATTGGGATTTTCTCTCCTCTTGAGTTTCCTCTCCTAATTTATTACTTTTGTTTATTTCCAAATTTTTACTTTCTTGAACATGTCATTTCTCCTCAACCCATTAATTTTAAGTATAAAAGATCATCAAAAGTTCAAAAGGTCAGGTTCCTATGAGTTCAGATTCATACTCATGTGATTAAGACCTACATACCTCCCAACTCTCAATCTGGAACATAAAGACTTTTTCTCATTGTACGTAAAGGCTGATAAATAAATGTCCAGCATATATTTTGAACAAAATTTTGTTTAGTAAACACATGGCAAAATAATTAAAAGATGAAAAATAACAAAGTAAAATTACAAGCTTATTTCTATTATTCTGCAACTCATCATTTTTAAAGACCCAGTTTATTTTAGGCTTGCAAATATCCCAAGTTAAACATGTATCGATACAAAATAAAGTTGTACTGCATGTCTAGGAATTCTTTACTGATCAACTTCTCACTTTTTGTCTGTCCTTACAGAAAGTACGTAAAGGTTTAGCTCAAAACAAATGTAAAACCTTTATAAGAAAATCCAATAAAGAAGTAATGAGGCAATGCTTTATTTAAATTGTATCAAATATAACATCCAAATTGACATAAAATTCCATAATTTAATTTTTATATGAAACTAAACATTATACTTACTAATAACTTACTGCATAAACTGTTAAGGATTTCCAATATTTGGCAAGTATAAATTAAATAGATGTATTAACAAGAGTAAGTCCAACTTTCAAGTTTTCTTGTTAGTTAGTATCCTGCCTAACAAGATGCTCCTAAGGTACCATACACAAACAATTGGAATTCCCACATTCTTTTTTCCTTGAGGCTTCCATCATGCCCCCACAATTTTTAAGGTTCTTTATAACTATTTTATCATTAGTGTTGATTTGTGTTAAGTATGGTTTAACTGCTGCTATTCTCTAAGTCTTAGTATTTTTGTTTTTACTTCCCTTGATCACTGGTTCTTAAATTTCCCCCACAGTGGAATATAGGAATTGACAGAGCCAGGTAGGCCTTTTAAATAAGCTAAAATATCATGTCAAGGAAGTGAGAGAACCACACTTTCTGGAGTTTCCTATATGTATTTCTTAAGAAGTAAAATACATAAAAGGCTACATTTAGTCAATATAGCAAGTATAAAGAAATATATGTACAAAGTAAAAACACTAAACTTTCACCAATCACCTACTCCAGAAAGACACAGTACAAGACTAAGACAACTTACCAGTTATTGCAGTATTTTAAAAATATGGTAGAGGGCGTAGTAAAGAAGTAAAAAAAAACCCTAAAAAACAAAAAATGACTTACCATTTGACAGCTAAATTCTGTACCTCTCCATTTTTATCTTCCAGTAATTTCAAAATCATTTTCACTACTTTCCTTTCACTATCATCATCCAACTTGATGGAGTCTTTCTGCAGTTCTGTCATCAAATCATTTGTAGCCATAAACCTATCGAAAATCAAAATTTGTTAATAATTTAAATAAGATCTTATTACCCAAAATTACGTTCCCCAGATTTGTCTTGATATTTTTTTTAAAAAATATATTTTATTGATTATGCCATTACAGTTGTTCTATTTCCCCCCTTCATTTCCCTCCACCCTGCATACCCCTCCCCCACCATTTCCCCCCTTTAGTTTATGACCACGTGTCTCAAGTTCTTTAGATTCTATATTTCCCATACTATTCTTACCCTCCCCCCTATGTATTTTCTATCTACTGTCTATGCTACTTATTTTCCGTACCTTCCCCCCCTTCTCCTTCTCCCACTCCCCTGTTGCTAACCCTCCATGAGATCTTCATTTCTATGCTTCTGCTCCTGATCCAGCTGTCCTCTTAGTTTGCTTTTGTTTTAGGTGTGGTTCTTAATAACTGTGAGTTTGCTGTCCTTTCACTGTTCATCTTTTTTATCTTCTTTTTCTTAGATAAGTCCCTTTAACATTTCATATAATAAGGGCTTGGAGATGATGAACTCCTTGAATTTGATTTCATCTGAGAAGCACTTTATCTGCCCTTCCATTCTAAATGAAAGCTTTGCTGGATAGAGCAATCTTGGATGTAGGTCTTTGGATTTCATGACTTGGAATACCTCTTTCCAGCCCCTTCTTGCCTATAAGGTCTCTTTTGAGAAATCAGCTGACAGTCTGATGGGAACTCCTTCCTTATCTCTTGCTGCTTCTAGGATTCTCTCCTTCATTTTAATCTTGGCTAATATAATTATGATGTGCCTTGGTGTGTTCCTTCTTGGGTCCAACTTCTTTGGGACTCTCTGAGCTTCCTGGATTTGCTGGAAGTCTATTACCTTTGCCAGATTGGGGAAGTTCTCCTTTATTATTTGTTCAAATCAGTTTTCCACTCATGACTGTTCCTCTTCCTCTTCTGGTACCCCTATAATTCAGATGTTGGAACGTTTAAAGATGTCCTGAAGGTTCCTAAGCCTCTCCTCATTTTTTCAAATTCTTGTTTCTTCATCCTTTTCTGTTTGGTCATTTTTTTCTTCCTTCTGGTCCACTCCTTTGATTTGAGTCCCAGTTTCCTTTCCATCACCATTGGTTTCCTGTGCATTTCCATTCATTTCAATTAGTTTAGCCTTCATATGTTCCTCTAATTTGTGACTAAAATCAACCAGTTCTGTGAGCATCCTGATCACCAGTGTTTTGAACTGTGCATCTGATAGTTTGGCTATTTCTTCATCACTCAGATTTACTTATTGGCTCTGGGGCTCTGAGTTGTTCTTGACCCATGTTTTGATCTGTTTGTGACTGTTACCTATGAGGAGCGGAGCCTTAGGTGTTCACCAGGGCAGGGCCACCCAAGTCGCTGGTTTGTGACACTGTATTTGGGGCAGGTCAGAGAGGGACAATAGTGGTCCCCTGTGCCGCTTTCCGCCGCTGGGGCCTGCGTGGTCCGACTTACTGCTGGCTCCTTCACCAGTTTACAGTTAATCTGCCCTCGAATGTGTAACCACGGTCAGCCCTCAGTGGGTCTGCTGCCTTGCGCTCTCACTGGGTCCACCCGCTACTCCACACCTGGGATCCACCCATGGCTGCTGATGTATCTGGGTCGCGCGCCCGGTGGGTCTGGTGGGTCTTTCCTGCCCGACCCCGCTCTGCCATTGGCTCTGTCCCTCTTACTGGTTTGGCTGAAGGGTTGGTTGTTGTCAGACTTCCATATAGTTTGATTTTCTGTGGTTTGGCTGCGTTTTTGTTGCTAAAACTTGGTTGTTTTTAAACTTGGTTGTGCGAGAAGGTAAAGTGTTTCCACCTACGCCTCCATCTTGGTGGAAGTCAGATTCGTCTTGATTTCATATTTAATGACAGGACCTACAGCGTATCTGATCTTTCACTCTAATTAATTGCATCATTGCACTTAGGGGATGAAAAGCTCCTCTTAACTTTTTCTTTGAATTTTACCTAAGAAGCCCTTAACTATAAACATTACAAATATCTTCTTAAATAATACTGTGTTGGGCTGAGGTCACATATCACAAATTACTAGGAAATTCCCAAAATACAAATTCTCACCTCCATCCAAACTCCCACTACTAGAAATCAACTGTCTTTTCAAAATGACAATGAGGTGATTCTAGAAAGTTGTTCCATGTGACATTCAAACCCTTCCCCTTAAGAACCACTCACTGCCCAAAGTGATTGTCTCTCTAACCTGGATTTTAAATAAAAGCTTGAACAGAAAATAAAAATAGACTTGCAGACTTTTCTTTGTACCTCACCAGACAATTTGTTGTTTTAAAAATAATTTCTCAGAATATTAGATAGTCACACTGAAATAAAGCCCCTAAATCTATTCAAAGGCCAAATAAAATTTTCCCATCATTCCTGGCTATCCTCTACCTGTCACAATAACCTAACTGAAATAACAATTTATCGTATTTTACACTGTATTATACGTATTTTTTGCCCAAATTTTTGAGGGAAAAATAAGGATGTGCATTATACTGGGCAGTACTAATTCTGTATCTATATAAATGTTTTTAATTCTTTTATTTATGCTTATGTGTTAAAAGTGTAACTCCAGAAAGCAATAATGATATCTGTATGCAAAACAATACCCTGGAATGTGACAATCAGTTTTGTTTCTAAATATAAGTAAATAAAAAGTTGAGTTAAAAATTAAAACAAAGATTTTTTTCCCCTGAAAGTTTGAGCCCAAAACATGGATGTGCATTATACACAGCAAAATAACAGTAATGCCTTTTTCTTTTATTCATTTAGAATGGAAGGACAGATAAAGTGCTTCTCAGATAAGATCAAATTCAAGTAGTTCATCATCACCAAGCCCTTATTATATGAAATGTTAAAGGGACTTGCCTAAGAAAAAGAAGATAATAAAGATGAACAGTGAAAGGACAGCACTCACAGTTATTAAGAACCACACCTAAAACAAAAGCAAACTAAGAGGACGGCTAGAACAGGAGCAGAACCATAGAAATGAAGATCACATGGAGGGTTAGCAACAGGGGAGTAGGAGAAGGAGAAGGGGGGAGAAGGTACGGAAAATAAGTAGCATAGATGGTAGGTAGAAAATAGATAGGGGGGAGGGCAAGAATAGTATGGGAAATATAGAATCTAAAGAACTTGAGACACGTGGTCATAAACTAAAGGGGGAATGGTGGGGGAGGGGGTGTGCAGGGTGGCAGGGAATGAAGGGGGGAAATAGAACAACTGTAATGGCATAATCAATAAAATATATTTTTTAAAAATTAAAACAAAGATTTTTTCCCTGAAAGTTTGAGCCCAAAACATGTGCATCGTACACAGCAAAGTAACAGTAATGCCTTTTTCTTTTATTTGAACGAGGTCCAGTTTGAGCAAAAATTCAATATTTTATGTTACGTGCAGTAATGTCAACATCCGTGTTTAAATCAACTTAAAATACAACTATTAGGGCTGAAATGATAAACAGCTATACAGACAGTCTGGCAATGTAGGCCATAAAGTATGTGGCAAGGATTTGGCAAATAACTTATTAACAACTTGTTACTTATAGGCATATTTTAAGAATTCCGGTGTTTAGTGTATTCATTTAATACCAATTTCACAGAAGTTTTAAACTACACGCAAACAAAATTCTCACCAAACTTTGTAAAACTGCTTATAAAGAAACTTACGTTCAAATTGGGATAATACAAGGTAAATTAAGCATGTACTTTTTAAAAATGACATCGTTCTCCCCATTTTACGTAACAAAAGTAAATTAAAACCACACAATATTCTGGAAAGTAAAATAAAACTAAGTTAGTGCATGAATGTAGGCACTTCTACACATAAAACATTAAACCATTTTACTTAGAAAAATTCAATAACCACAGTAGTTAGCATCTCTAAGAATCCCTAAAATGCTAATCATCTCGTAAAGAAAAACAAAAATTTCAGTAAAAAGGCAGATAATCCCAATGTAAAAAATTATTGTTTTATGATTCTACAGTACTAGCACACAGATTCATTCACTCACTCACTGACTATTATGATCACATGCCTACAGGCAAAGAATAGACAAAAGATAAACTTTGGTTCCTGACCTCAGAGAACTTATTTTCTAGTAAGTCTACTGATTTTCAAAAATCAATTAATGGTTAAAAAATTTTTTTAATTAAAATGAGCACCAGCAAGATTAGCAATCCAGGAAAACTAGACTGATATAGCATTAGGGGAGAGGGGTTTAAGGGGACTAAATAGTAATGTAAAAAAATACAATAAACATTTAAAAAATTAAATTGTTACTTTTTAAGGATCCTAAAAACCAGAAAGTCTGAGAATTTCCTCCTTCTGTTATTTTAATATAAAAAATTGCACTATAAATCTTCTTATGAGGAAATTGATCATTTTGAAAGCTGTCCATGGCAGATTCAAAAAACTGGTAAACTATCTCTTGAGCATTTACTCTTTAGATATGGTGCGTAATGGCTGAGATGATAAACACAGACTTAGTCCCTTTCTTTTAACTTTTTCATCTACTATGGCAGACAAATGGACAAACCTCAATCTTACAAATTTTTAAAAACAATACTCAAGGGTATTTGGCAATGATCACACCAAAGAACTGATGCTTAGCTTGGGTCTCAAGGGATTAATAGGGGTTTGAACTGGGAAAGCTGGTTTGAAATTTTTAATTGTTTATTTTTGTGTGAGTGGTGATGGTGAGGGTTCCAGTACCTCAGAGTAAGACTGAGGAGCAGTTCAGTGGCAAGTCAATCTGATAACCAAGAAGGAGGCGTGGGTACACTGAACAGAGACGATTCACGTCTCAGGTGGGACAGAATGGGATGGCAGGAGAGTTCAACACAGTGCTCAATTTAAAACTTATTAACTACTTATTTCTGAAATTTTCCATTTAATACTTTCGGACCATAGTTGACTATGGGTAAGTGAAAGTACAGAAAGTGAAACCACGGATAAAGAGGCACCACTGTATCTTCCCCGCAGTCTACT